ATGGCCCTCGCCCGTTTAGCTCGGTCGGCCTATGGACCAAGGGTCCAGGGTTCGAGTCCAGCCAAGGCGGGTCCTTAGGTTGCAGGCTCCTCCGGGGCCCTGGTCGGGCTGTGCAGGAGGCAACCCATCGATGTGTCTCTCTCACATTGATGCTTCTCTCTCTCCTATCCTCCCTCACTCTCTAAAAATACAAAACAAACAAAATAACAGACCTACATTTTAATTGTCCCTTATCAAACCCACCTCCTCTATTCTACCTCTCCCTCCTGGCTTCACCTTCTCCCTGTGCAGACATTTTTTAATTTAATAAACCTACCACCCTTAAAAACAAAAACAAAACTCCCAGCCTGCCTCGGCCCTGCCTGCCCCCAGGCTCTCCCTGCTCCCCCTCTTCCCTGCGCAGCTCAGGCCTCGGAGGGACCGTCTGCCCTCCTGCCTCCTCCCCTGCGCCCGGGCCCTGCGCCTGGAGCCCGCGCTGCCTCCAGGACCCGTGCTCAGCCCCCGCCATCTCAGACCTGGCGACACCCCAGGGCGTGGCCCTGGCCGGACGCCCCATCACCGGGTGGCCAGTCCTTCCCTTTTGAAACTCGCCCGCCCTCAGCGCTGGTGATGCCGGCGGCGTTAGGCGCTTCCTTCCTCCCTCGGCTCCTAAAGGCTCGGTGGTGACTCAGCCTCCACCGGGCCAGGGGCAGGGGCAGGAGACAGGCATCGCCGCGCCCGGGCCTGCCCCTCCGCATCCTGTGTCCACCACCCCATCGGGACCCTCGTCCCTCCTCCCTCCTGCCTCCCCCACAAATATTTACGGAGCACCACGTGCCAAATAGCCTCCGTGACCTGGGACACGGCAGGAGAGACGGGGAGCAGCCCCAGCCGTGGGCCGGACCCACCTCCAACATCCCACCCGCCCAGAGCACCCCTCCGTCATCTCCCCCGTCCTGCCGAGACCGAGCACAGGGGTCCCCTCCCCACGACACCCCATCCTGTCCCCCGTCCTGTCCCCGTCGCTGAGCAAACCCGGGCACAGCACCCAGCACTTCACACTGAACTTGCTCTTGGTCTTTCCCAAGGACTGAGCTGAGGGCAGGAACTGCACGTTCTCCGTCAGGCTGTGCCTCCCTCCCCGCTGCCGGGTCCCTCTGACCTCTGACCTCTGCCGAGGGGCGCACCCTCATGTCCTCCACTCGCTCCTTCGGTGGCATCTGACCAGGCCCTCAGTCCCTCTCCGAGCTGACGGCGCCCAGTGCACGTGTC